TAAATATTTTATACTTTAGAATATTCTCTTTGTATACTTTATATCTTAGAATATTCTCTTTGTAAACACCTATATATAGGTCATTGTACATACAATATAATTCAAGAAAGCAATAAACCTTTCTTCAGATATTTCTCCTTCTTTTCAGTTTCTAACAGGGATCATACGAAAGCAAAATTCCGGTTTCCTTGGCGACTTTCATGGCTGCCATGTGAGCGGATCTGCATGGCTCCGAAATCAAACTTATGGATCCGTAGTGGAAAATTTTGGCCTTCTTAATGAGACCCATATTCAGCTCGGACTCCTTTAGAAGCATATCCGCACTAGGGTTTCTATAAAACATGAACTCCCTCTCCCCATTTGTCTTCAGAGTCACGAATGCCAATGCAGTCCTAGCTTCCTTGTCGAAGGAAACGCCCTCGCTGTTCACCCCATTCTGCTTCAGGATATCAACCAGCATCTGTCCAAACTCGTCATCTCCAACCTTGCCAATGAAGGCGGCGCTGCCACCGAGCCTGGGGATGGCACAAGCAACATTAGCAGGTGCACCACCGGGGGCCTTGAGGAAACCAGTGGATTCAGCCAAGGAAACACCGGCGACATCAGGGACAAAGTCGATCAACATTTCTCCAAAGGACACTATCAAGGGGCTGGAACCTGTTGCCGGCATCTTTTCTCAAAATCAAATCAAATTCTAGGTGGAATTTGGAATAAAGTTAATAATCTGGGATGGAAATTGTGCAGTTGGGATATATTTATACACATAAATTCGGAATTTGGATTTTGTTCAAACTGTAATTAGATAAATTATTTTGTCAAGATTTAGTAAAGATATGGAATTTTATCTCTAATGTTTTTCAGTGCTTCTTAAGCTTTTAATTGTGTATATGCTGACTAGGACCGTGATTTAGTTGTAGCCAGTTTGATTTGGATCTTGCGGTGAATATTTGAGGGGTAATGGAGAGTTGGAATAATTAATTAGGAGACAAAGACATTGATTTTATGGATAATGTAAATGATGAAGTATTTATCTTTTTATCTTTTAGAGCTTGATAATAAATTAATCTCATTATCCAATAATTACAGAGATAAGATTTATATATATATATATATATAAAATAAAAGATGAACTTGATTACCAAGTAAACCTCAAATCAAGGAGAATTTGTTTAAGATTATTGAAACGAATTAAAAGGATATTTCCGCAGAAAAACTCTTATAAGCATTTCATCTCCTTAGAATACAGAGAATGTATAATTTTAAGATAGTGGTATAAAGATAATTTTTTTATAATTTTTATATGTTATTAAATGAGTAGATGCACTTAATATTATATATTTTAAATAAATAAAAAACAATTACTTAAATGATTTGTATGATTATATTAAAATGTACTACAAAAAATTTATTTCTAAATCATTTTTTTAAATTTTATCATGTGTATTTGCTCAAATGGCCTTGGTAAGTTTTTACAATTCCACTTCACATACTTCAAATGTGTATTGTTTTACGATTTAAATTATATTAGATTGAAAAATAAAAATTATTAAATAAATGATGATGAGGGAGGACAACCCCAATATTAGATAAAATAATACACATTTGATATGTATGATTATATTAAAATGGAGTACAAAAAATTTATTTTTAAATCATTTTTTAAAATTTTATCATGTGTATTTGCTCAAATGAACTCGCTAAGTTTTTACCATTCCACTTCACATGCTTCAAACATAAATGTTTTATCATTTAAATTATATTGAATTATAAAATAAAAATTATGAGAAAATGAGGATGAAGGAGGATAACCCCAATATCAGGTAATTTGTCTAAATTCAATAGTTTAAGTTATGCAATATAAACTGTAACTTTTTTTTTAATCAAATTGTTTTTATCTTTAGTGTTATTTAAAAAATCATTTTTAATTATTATTTTTAAAATTTGGATCTGGGCCTGAAACAACCAAACCCAACTCCACTTTTTTGGGGAGGGCTAGAGCCCATCAAACCCAACTCGTGACATTAACTAGTCTGGTTTGGAATTAGCGGCCATGGCTGCGCCACAACGCCACGGCCGAAGCAGCTTCTTTCCTTGTTATTGGAGAAATTGATGAATTCTCCCTCCGATGAGCAGAATCAGATCGTTCCCAATTGATCCCGACGAAGATGGATCACTACAAGGTGCTGGGGGTAAACCGGACCGCCACCAAGGATGAAATCAAAGAAGCCTTCAGGAAATTAGCGGTGCAGTATCACCCCGACAAGCACTCCCAATCGCCCAAAACCATCAGAGACTCCGCCACGCTCCGATTCAAGCAAGTATCCGAGGCCTATGAGATCCTCAGCGACGATCGCAAGCGCGCCGACTACAATTTCAGTCAACGTTCCTCTTCTTCTTCGTATTCTTATACCTACAATCCTCAGGGAAGCACTAGCCAGGGGTTTTACGGCTATGGATATGGCTGTTACACTGCTTCGCAGAATAAGAAAAACTACAAATACAAGGCTTCCAGTAGTCTGTTGGAGGTTGCGCTTCGCTATTTCACCACGCGCGCCTTTCTTCTCAATCTTACCTTCGCCGGGTATGATTTCCCTTAATCAAAGTAGATTTGTGAATTTTGGAGCTGAAATTTTTAATTGGATGAAATTAAATTCAATATGTGAACCTGAGAGCAATTGTATTAATTTTCTTTTGTTTATATATTGATCGCAGTGCTCTGTTTGGGGGATTAATGATGATTGATACAAGTGGAGAAGCACTGTGGAAAAGGCATAACTCGGGAGTATGTATTGCATCTGGGGATTTGTTATTTGCTTCGTAGTATTCTTGTTAGTTCAGAAAGTTATTGCATAAGTTGTGCCCATGGTCAAGAATCAAAATCTAACATGAGATGAGAGGAAGCTTGATTGAGTTCTCTATGCAAATTGTATTTAGACTATGTTTTCAATGCAATGACAGACCTAAACTACATTTTGTCTCGGAAAAGTAGCCAGGAGTTAACATCATTTGGAATCTATAACTAAGATTTAAAGTTGTTGACTATGCAATGAAGTGCATGTAAAATTGTGCTAGCCTGTTTTATTCCTCCTAGAGGGGCGCAATACATTTCCATACATTCTAATTGTTGCTTTATCCTTGTTGGGAAATTTCTTAGTCTATGACATTTCTATCGGTACCAACCTTTAGGCCTTGTTCCTTGAGGATTTTAGCTAAACTCAGATAAATTAGAATTTGTTCTAATAGTCCTGCAGTGGAAACAAGAGAGTTCTGGGGTTGAGTTTTGGAAGAAGAAGAAAGTGTTACTTTCTTATAGGGTATCATGTATGCAGCATCTTTTTGCTTTAACTAAAATATCCTTTTTACTTTTATTAAATCATGAAAGGGTAAAAATCTGATACTTCTTTCTAGACATAAATGTTGCCCTGCTTCTACCAAACCTCCTATAAAATAACCACCCTCTATTGGTACAGTAATTGTTAACCAACATGTAAGCGTGTCTGGCTGGGAATGAAATAGGGATTTCAGCATTCAATAACCTCTTAGATTTGGCATGAATTGAGGTGCTCTTGCCCTTTTGAAATTTACAAGAGTCTGAATGAAGCATAGTAACTATTGTTTATAAAAGCTGGCAGGATTTGTAAGCTTAATATAAGACGATACTCATGAAACCCTTTCTAATATTTTTTTTTTTTATTAATGAATTAAGATGATTCACACTGATGATCTTGATTTTTTTTTTTTTCCTGTTCAGAAATCATTTGAAGAAACCATGGAGTCTCTTGAGAAAGCCAAAGCACATAAAGACACGTAAGAGGGCTATAGCTCATTCTTTTTCTGTATTCTGCTATTCAGCCGTGAACTTTGTTGTCATGGCTTCATGGTTTCTCAACCCTCTGAAATCCAGAGCATTCTTTTTCATTTTCTGTTTGTTTGCGCATGCTTTTCTCTCTACAACCTCATTTTCCTTTTCTCATAGGTTTATATCACTGTTTCAGTGTCTTGCATGTGAGTTATTTGTTATAGATCGAGGTCTATATTTAACAGTTTGTCTGAGCTAGTAAGTTAACTGTGGTCCTTTTTAGTGCTTAAAGACACAAGAATCTCCATTCTCTCTGCTGATGAACCACCGTGAACTTCCCCCTCTAAGACTCTTATTTACAGTGGCGCTATTTACTTTGAATTGAAGACCATCTGCTCTACAAAGACAACTCCATGTTGGAGATTGACATATTTCATAATAGGTAAGTTGCATGGAACCAAGCTCATCTCAGTTAGTTCTAAGTCAAATTACATGGATTTCAAATGATAATGGTTCTGCATCTTCAGCTGTAAGAGTTGCGGTGGCAGAGAGATTCTTCATATTGCCTTAACATGAATATAAGTCGAAGTCTTTGAAATTCTTCCCCTCAACCACAGTATCTGTATACAATTCTACATCATCAATTCAACATGCTTTGTAAATATTTCTATAGTCAGACATATATTATAGAATGAGAGATATTATAGAATGAGAGACCCAGAAGTGCAGCTAAATCTCCATTGAGGCTGTATAAAATTTATGTAAATGATTCAGATTCTGGAAGATGAATGGAAGTACACGGGGGTGGTGTGATCACCATCATTTTGTTAAGCTAGCTCAAAAATTGTTTAATTTAATTGGTATTTT